TCTCCCCCTCCCCCAACACTAAGCCTTCCCACTGTGATATAAGGTGTTATGTCTTGTCATGGACATGCCCCGCTCACTCTACCCTGATGAAGTGATGGGTCGAAATAAATATGCCCTCCCTTCAGGTTACTTTATTCTGGTATTTTGTCACAGTGACAAAAGACTAAGACAAGAACTGTGGACATCTGGCCAGCCTACAGGAAGCTTCAGTCATCAGTACTTTGCCACACTTGCTTTCTCTGTGTATGTTTTCCGACATCTCCAGAAATAAATTGATTAATCCCTAAACTACCAGCATTCATACTGAAAGACAAAGCAAAATTTCCTACTAGACTATAACAAGATTTTCATGTAGAAGAAAATTTGCAGTTCCACACCACCTAATATCTATGCCATAATCAAATTCTCTCAAGTGTCAAGAGAAAACAAAGTCTTTTAAACTGAGTTTTTAACATGTCAGTAAAATCAAAATTCATGCACTGCATTTGCCTTCTAGGATCCCTACCTCTTTTCCCATGATACTGACTTGGGAAAAATAAATCCAAGCCAATAATCTCATAGATTGTCAAGCATTCTCTGTATTTATAGCCTTTCGTCTCTTAGTTCGATTCAAATTAAACATTTCATAGTTTCATGCTTTATACTTCACACTTTATCAAATTAGGAGACATAGAGGGTCAACTTGTGTCATTATTGGTGATGCTAACATTGACCAATGATTTAAGGCAGCATCTGTCACAGAGCCTCATTGTGAAGATCCACAGTGTCCATTTATAATTAGTAGCCTGAAGCAATACATTAAAATGATAAGAATATCTTGTCTCTCGATTTGATCATTTAATCAGTGCTCAAAACCAAGGCAGTGCTAATGACTTGGCTATCACTCCCACATTCATTAGCTGCTGTTCTTCTATAATAGCTGTTCTGTCTTTACCACCTGCTCCGTGCGTCTCTGCTTCATCAATGTGCTCTTAGCAAGTATTCCTATGCGGGCTTCCCAAACGTCACTGGTGTCATGCTATTCAAGCAAATCCCTTTCTTTATGGTATAATTTACCCACGGCTCACCTTGTCTTTCCAAACCCCAGATCTGAAAAGGCCGCTTTTCTAAGCTGCTCTGGTCCTTTTGAAACGGGAATAGAATTTAGATACAAAGAACTGGGCACTAGGTATACTCACATTTGAAGGGGGAGGGAGAGAACCATTTCAAGGATGGAAAAAAATGTTTTTGCTTTATTTGGTATAGTGAATTCATAGACACCCCCTTTGTTGTTGTTGTTTTTATTCTTTGGACTCTTTACTCTTTGGGGGGGGCAAGCACCCAGCTCCCAACTAAATTACATTCATGGAGGCTTATTATTACTTATAAGTGCCCAACCTTAGCATTGCTTGTCTCTTGCCAGTTTTTCTTAATTTAAATCATCCCTTCTACCTTTTGTCTCTGTTTTTTTTTTTCCTTTTGTTACTTCCGTATATATTGCTTTCCTTCTTACTCAGTGGCTGGGTGGCTGGCCCCTGATGTCCTCCTCTCTTTGTTCTCTCTAGCTCTTCTTCTCTTCTAGATTTCTCCTATTTATTCTCTCTGTCTGCCAGCCTCGCCTATCCTTTCTCCTGCCTTGCTATTGGTCATTCAGCTCTTTATTAGGCCATCAGGAGTTTTAGACAGGCACAATAACACAGCTTCATGGAATTAAACAAATGCAGCATAAACAAGAGCAACACATCTTATAATAATATTCTACATTTCCCCTTTATCTTTAATATTGCAAAACTCCATTCTTTATTTCTACCTTCATATCCAATTCTCTTATTTCTTAGTGTATAAACCATACAAATATTCATGTACATAGATATTTGTTTTCCTTGTAAAATGTTTATATATTTTATATCATATTTATATGACTACTAATAAAACAACTGAATAACACTTAAAATTTATTTGTAGCTCTTTCTTGCTTTCCAGGGCCATTGCATAAGGATGAGTGAGAGGCAAGGACTGACAACTTAGTTGAAATAGCTCCTTTCTCTACGTGCTCCTATCACCAAGTTGACAATCATGCACCTGCTTTTTGGCTGTTCTGTTTTAGGGTTCTTGAGATTTGCTTATTTTTATTTTATTTTTGGATTTGTACAAATTAGCACTGATTGGAAGTAAAATCTACATCAGAAGGTGACTCATAGGAATCTAATTCTTGTCCCTATCCCCTCCATGACATTAATACCATTTTCATAACTTCATAACTTTGCTGAGGTTTAAATGCCATTAATTTCCCCATTTACAAGAGTATTATTCAATGGCTTTTAGTATATTTGTAGGGTGATATAACTACTACCAACGTCTAATGCAAGAAGCTTTCATTATTCCATAAAAAGCACCACACCTAGTATCAGCAACTCCTAAATACTATGCAATATTTTGTCTATCAATTTATATAGTGACAGGTGCTAGGTTTACTGACACTCTTAAATAATTATGGATAATGCTGTTATAAATATCTGTGTGTAAGGTTTTGTAAGGACATCTGTTTTGATTTATCTCAGGTATACAGTGAGGAAATAGAATTCCCAGGTCTTGCAGAAGCCTGTATTTAACTTTTGGAATCATTACATATTTTTAAAATCACATTGTGCTTCATTTGATCTTAACATTCGTGTGATTTCTAATATTTAAAATTTTCCTCTTCTATTAGGAAAATGCTCTAGAATATTACACCACTTGATTTATATTTTAGGTCTTTTTTTGTTGTTGCTGTTGCTTGTTTTATAACCTAACATGTATAATGCATCACGTGGGGAAAAACCTGCATAGACAATGTTCTTATTCTTTTTTTATGAGTACACATTACTACATGTGTGATATACCCTTATTCACCCAACAAGCCCTCTTTGTTGGGCATGTACTATCCAATTTTTGTTGTTAAAATTATGCTGCACTGACCAACACTGCCTTGCATTTGTGGAGAGGTATATTTAGAGTAGATGCCAAAAAGTGTGCCTGGTAGACTGAAGTGAAAATTAATATGCGCATGTGTTAAGTGCTTCTGAATGTCCCTCCTCTAGAAGCATACTAAACTAACACTGCAATTACTCAGGGGGCCTGTTTCCCATAGTCTCATTGACAGAGAATGTAAATTGAAATTTGTCAATGAATGGTAGCTGAGCAGACATCTGATCTGCATTTCATTACTACGGTGAGATTAAGTATTACATTTCCACACATTTAACGCTTTCTAACTCTGTGATATATCTATATGAATCACTTTTGTTTCAGAGATCTTGAGGAGCAGGAATGCGGAGGTAAACCAGTTAGATGGGAAGATGGAGGCTGATGCCCCATCACTCACTATCAGCAGGAACGTTATGATGAGTTATAGGGATCTTGTCACATATTAGATTTTCAGAAATTCACAGCTAAAAGAATGCCTTAAAAATAGCTGATTCAGCTCCTTCCAGCTATCAATGAACATGCTCTACATTAATAACTGAGGGCCAAAGAGTGGAAAGACTTTCTTTAGGTCACACAACAAACTAGAGCTAAAGCTAGAAATGGAACTCAAAGTTCCTTTCCCTACAGCAACATCAAATTAATGCACAAATAATTTCTTCGTTGATTTTTGTATTTTTGCTAAGATTACATCAAACTACATTTTGGAGAGAACATGTCTCTTAATACTCTATCAGCCTGAGCTGCAGACATCAGCAATAAACCAAAATCTATCATTTTGCTATCCGCGCTTATTATCTATATCAGCACCTTTAATATCCACTTGCAGTAGAAGTGCAAAAGCAATCTTAGAAAGTACAAGCTGGATGAGATTTCGGGAGATACCTCACATCACAGGAACACACCAGGTCCAGGTACACAGAGTGTTCAATATATATCTCACAGGGGCAGCCAAGAGGGTCCTTAGTCTGAGATTTCACTATCACTAAAGGCCTGGAGATTAGGTGTTTAGATTCTTTCCATATGAGGTTCAATATAGCATGATGAATTTTGAGAGTGTATAGATAGGCATATTTGCTAAATATATGCTTAGGATATATTGTAATTTCATGCTGTTTTACACATTGCTGCTTAAAATACCAGGAGGGGCCTAGAGAGGGGCACAGCAATCAAATGAGCTAGCAACAGAACTGAAATAAGCACTCAGAGTTTGAGAACTTCTCAACTGCATGCCGTCTATCTTTGTTTTGATTCAAGAGCATCAATCTTCATTCACAAAACTGAATCTTTTTTATGATGCATTGTCACGGAGCATGTGTACCCCTTCTAAGTAAGTCTCCTGCCATCTTCACAGCAGGCCAGGAGCTTGACCACATCCTAATATCTTATATTTTATTCATTTCTCTTTTGCCCCAATTCCCCTCCTCCCTCTCTTCATCCCTCTTCCCTCTCTTGATCCCTCCTCCAATCCATCGCTCTCTTCCTTCCCCCCTTCTCATTCCTTACTTCCTTTCTTTTATTCTTTCTTTCCATTGGCAGGGTATCACTACATAATTGGCTAGTCTGGCCTCTAGCTGACAGTCTTTCTACACTATCCTCCCAAATGCTAGGATTACAGACACACACGTAAAAAAAAAAAAAAATGCACTTCTTAAGAGCTCACTCTATGTCAAGGCTTTTCTATGTTCATCTGAATCCATGACACTCCTACTTCGTATGTTCATAGAGATGAACATCGAGAGGCTCAGAGAGGCTCACTAAGTCAGCTAAGTGTTAGAACTAGGCTCGTCTGACAGTAAAGTACATGTCGGGCCCTAATGCACAGCACACTCCCTTACTGCTGCTACCTTTCAGCTACAACAGAGTAGAGGCCTGTGGACTCCAGGATACGTACACGGGTGAATGCAAAACTGACCTCCCTCAGAGAATATTCAGATGGCAGAAGAAAAAGGTGGGGGGATGGGCTTCAATGAGTTAGGAATCAGTTTTTCTTCAGTCCTCCCATGTGTTCCAGACGAACAACAGAAACTCTTTTTGAAACCCCAGCAGTTACTTACTTTACCAAGTGTCTGATTAGAAGTTCCAGCATCTCCCGGTTCTTTTCTGGTAGCTTATATACTAGGGAGTGAATAGCCCCCAGACGATAATCCAGGTTGTCAGATTCTGGCAGAGAGAACAAAGAGAGATGGTTTGGCTTCTAGGTGACTGGATTAATTAAACTCTAACATGTGCGCACATATGTACGTGATGTGTTCGTATGTATGCACGTGTGCGTGCACGCGCGCGTGCGCACACACACACACACACACCTGAGCACAGGGAGAGGGAGAAAGGAAGAGGGAAGGAGAGAGAAGAAAGGGGAGGAAGACAATAAAAAAGATGAAGAAAGGAAACAGGCAAATAGGCACAGACACACTGAATAAATGAGAAAAAATAAAAAACCTAGTCAACAATGGCAAGGGGAGATTAGAAAGCAAAAGAAACAAAATGTAGGCCTAGAAGGATGAAGAAATTAGAAAGTGGGGAATGGAAGACTGTGGACTCAGGTTCAGAGGCAGGCAGAATCCCAGGCACAGCAGGCTGTCTCTAAAGCCCCAAGCAAAGCCTCCAGTTGGAAACCTTTTCCCACCCACTATGTGTGAAGCACTATGGGTGCTGCTTTGCCAAGTCAATCACTGAAAGAGCCTGGAAGTACATACCACGTACCTCCCCTTTTACTTGAAACCATGCAACTAACATTGGCTATCAAAATTATTTACCCCAAAAAGTTAGCAACCAAAACTACTCTCATTTGGCAGTGGGCAACATCAGTTTATTTTAGGAATTGTCCCCCAAAGCAGTCTTCAGGCTTTTTATCATAAGCTTACTAGGAAACCAGAGCAACCAATTGAACGAGCAGTGCACATACTTACTGGCAGCAGAGACGAGCTCTTTGTGAAGCTTATAAGTCATGACAGGTTCGGAAAGATTCCTGAAATGAATAAAGGGGATCACTCTTTTGGAGGAAGGAGTAACCAGACCTTGGACTCTCAGTTCTACAAGTACTAAGGACCCATACCTTAACCTGATTACACCCATCTCACAGAAGTTTACCACTGGGATCTATGTCTGAAAGAATGAAATTGAAATGAACGAAATGTATGCCCTGGCAATGCTGAAGCCTGTATGTAGCGGTTCTGTTGAACTTGTCCATTGGGTTTCATGGTCTAAATTGATGAGGACGGCTAATCTGGTCTCTTCCTCATATTTAAAAGAAGATCTGCCAAAATATAGATAGACTGCAGCTTCCAGCAAGGTCTCCAATTAGCTCCCCAAAGTGAAAGGAAATAAAAACCAATCCTGCCAATTCTAAAATAGACCTACTCGAAATATGACAACATGCTTATAAATTGGTGGATCTGAAGAATTATTTCCAAAGCGCTTTAGTATCTGTTCTATTTAACCCTTCCGCTGGTCCTATGAAGTAGAGCAGGATTGAAACAAAGAGATGAGTTCTGTCTGGGATGGCACTAAAACTTGGGCAAGCACTAACCATAGAGGCAGAAACATAGTCAAGATCATTTGATGAGCTGTTGTACACATTTGCAGCCAGGTTTCTATACAAAGCAATGGACATAACATGTCTACTTCTTAGTCCCGGAACCCCCTGGTTCACTCGCTAATCTAGCATGACCTGACTCAGCCCAACTGCTCCAATGAAGCTGTTCTGACCAGTACCACCAGTGACTGCCTCAATGCTGCACACAAAGACAATTGTCATTTTTTTTTTACCTTTGCATCATTTTGGGGTTGTTAACAAGCCTCCTTGAGACTTACCACTTGGGTTCTGTTGAATCACTTGATTTTGGTGTTTCTTCTCACCACTTTGACTTTTTATAATTTATCTTCTCTGGGAATTTATCATGGCCCCTTTTCTGTTTTTACAACACTAGAGGCTGGAAAACTCAAATATCTACAGAGGCTAGGAGGTTTTCATACTGCACATGTCTGATATTTAATCTGCACTTACTTGACATTGCCTTTATTTTCTCAACGGCAGACATATTTACTAACAAAGAAGCACGTGGGCTCAAGGGAGTCAGATATTTCCATCTTCAACAGAGATGGCAAATGAATATTTTTATAGGAAATACACTTGTTTTCATACTTTGACCATTGATTTGATTCTACTTCAGTGGCAGCGACTACGGGACAAAAGGGAGTGCTATAAAACATTGCACTGCTGTTTCCCCAAAAGTCTGTATCTTTCCCGGAGCAGAGGGACATCTGTTCTGGTGGTTTTAAGCACAAGCACAGCATCGTGATTTCCACTTCTACCACTGAAAGGCGCAAGAAGGGCCTGACATCTAATTTCTTACTAAACCTTATTTTCCCGTGGCAAATCCAGATGGCCCCGTGGTCATGCACATTCACTTCATTATCAGTTGATCCAGATTCTGTCTGATTGCCCACACCAGATTCCTTTCTCCCTCACTATCCCAAGCCGCAAAAGGATTCCATCCACAAACTCCATCTGAGCTCTTTTCTTGCCACTTACGCCACTGCTATGAAACTTTACATAAACTAAAAGCAAAACTTTGCGTCTTGACTGCAAAGGCAATGTGACCTCGTGTGCATCACTGCCATCATTTCCCTTCCAGGATGGACTGGACACTTTATTAAGCTAAAAGTCAAAACAAATCTTCTTTCTTAAAAACGAAATTGAAATAAATCAATAGTGATGACAGCCTGGCGCAATAGGACAGCTTCACTAATGATCGCCTCTTGCTACATGTGTCGGCCACTAATAGTTTTAGACTTGGCATTCCCTTCTGCTGATTAGGTTTAAGCTAGAAAGGCTTTCAATTGAAGAAAGCCCTTGAAACACATCTGTGAAAATATTGCTTTAAAGAGGATAGGGACAGTACATCACTTACTCATCTAAGTTGGAAATTATTCATATAAGACTACTCTCTTTTTATTAAACTATCCCCACATCCCAAAGTCGGTCATGGCTCCTGAAAACAGGTATTAGGGGGGAAAAGACACCCCAGGAAAAGTAGCTTTTTAAGTCAGAGATTTAAGTTCAAACGATATCACCTATGACCACACACATACTTTGTTGGGGAAGCAAGAACCTGAGTTTCCCCGTCTGTAAAAAGGAGTATTGCCCTTCCTGTGGTACACAGGAGTAGGGATAAACAAATAATCAATGAAGGTGTTAATATTAGCAACTAGCACAGTGACTATCACAGGATAAGCCCTCCAATAGCATTTCCTTTCTTTGTAAGACAGAAAAGGCATGTCTCAGAGGAATCTAAAATGACTGAAAGACACTTAAGGAAATGCTCAACATCCTTACACATCAGAGAAATGCAAATCAAAACTCTGAGATTCCATCTTACACCTGTAAGAATGGCCAAGATCAAAAACACTGATGACAACTTATGCTGGAGAGGTTGTAGGTTAAAGGGAACACTCCTGCATTGCTGGTGGGAGTGCAAACTGGTACAGCCCCTTTGGATGTCAGTGTGGCGATTTCTCAGAAAATTAGGAAACAACCTTCCTCAAGACCACTTTTGGGTATATATCCAAAGGATGCACAAGGACATGTGCTCAGCTATGCTCATAGCAGCATTGTTTGTCATATCCAGAATCTGTAAACAACTTAAATGTCCCTTGACTGAAAAATGGATAAGGAAAATGTGGTACATTTACACAATGGAGTACTACATGGCAGAGAAAAATAACGACATCTTGAAATTTGCAGGAAAATGGATGGAGCTAGAAAACATCATATTTAGTGAGGTTACCCAGACCCAGAAAGACAAATATCATATTACTCACTCATAGGTGGTTTCCAAACATAAAGCAAAGAAAACCAGCCCACAAATCACAATCCCAGAGAACCTAGACAACAATGAGGACCCCAAGAGAGACATATGTGGATCTAATCTACATGGGAAGTAGACAAAGACAAGATCTCCTGGGTAAACTGGGAGCATGGGGACCATGGGAGAGGATTGAAGGGGAGGGGAGAAACAGGGAGGGGAGCAGAGAAAACATGTAAGCTCAATAAAATCAAGAAAAAAGAAGATAAAAAAGACTAGACATATTTCTGAACATAGCATTCATAGTTATATGAAATTAGAACTACATCAAGATGATGCTACAGTGGAAGGTCATTCAACAGCAATATCATAACCCAGCTGTTTAGAATAATGATACGGTACAGAGTTTAAACATCTATCTTAATGCTAAAAGACCACAAAAATGGAAAAGATAACTCTTGAACGTGAAACTATATTGTATGTTATAGATCATAAAGAATGGTAGAGGGTAACTGAAGGTAGTGCTATGTGTGGTGGCAATGCACACCTTTAACCCTAGCAGCACAGAGGCAGAGGCAAGTGGATTTCTGTGAATGGAGGCCAGCCTGATCTACACAGAGAGCTCCAGTCCAGCCTGCAAAGTCGGAGCCTGTCTCAAAAAATCAATGGATATGTACATAATATGTATATGTGTGTATCTAGTCTTTGAATTATGTAAATATACATGTCTATATATACATATTCAAACATATTTTAAATAACATATACTTATGCCTATAAATAAGACATTAATTTTATCAGCATTATATGTCCCCAAATTTTGCTTATCTTTTTTCTTATTGCTGTCGCTCATTTATCCCCAACTTTGTAATTTCTTTTATATTTCCATTTATATGGGTAAAGAGATGAAAGTATGGTATAGCCATATTCTATTTCTCTTTCTCTCTCGGGGTGAGGACTCTACTGCTGAGCTATATCCACAAGAGGATGGTTTTAAATAATACTGTTTTATAAAGGATTTTTCCAGTAACAAATACTTTCTAAATCAAATCCTCATATTAAAGATAAGTTTTCAAGAGCTTGAGGTGGTGGCCAATGTCTATAATTTTAGCTTTCAGGAGACTGAGGCAGGATGATTGTATCTACCTCCAGTCCAGCCTGAGCTACATAGTTAGTACATGTCTCAAAGACAAACCAAAAAACATCTTATTAAACAGAAATCCTCTTAGACAAATTTTATCAATTATAAAAAGTCAAGATCCAATTGAATAAAACATACCTGAGGTAGAATTTTAAGGAGCTTGTGATTGTCTTAATGTCCCAGTCACTGTTATGAAAATCGACATCTCCTGGGCATTTTGGATCTAAGGAAAACAAAACAAAATGAAACAAAAAATAATCTTCCAACAGATTTTACCCATTACCTTTTTCTATAAGAAGAGGTAAATTAATGAGTTACTCAAATACATTTTCAAGAGACCAAAACTTTACACAAAAATATTTTCACTTAAAAAAATTATCTTGTATTCTGTCTCAGTATGTAAGAAATTTGAAACTCATCACTTCTAGACACCCTATGAGAAAAAAAATGCTGAACAAACTGAACAACTCTAGATTACCAAAGTTTGGAGATGGTGAGGAAACCTGCTGCTGCCAAACTGAGAAGCACTCACTGGCAGAAGCTCAAGAGCAGAAACGCCATGAAAACCATTCCCAGCCCAGGAAAAGCTAATCTGTAAATAAAATAATGTAAGACCCATTAAGTATGAGTTTCAGAGTTATAAACTGAGTGGCCCAATCCCATCAGAGAATACCTCCTGTTTGGGTTCCCTAATAGCTTTACCTTGAGAATGTTATCAGTTTTCCAGAGTAGAAAACGAAGGAAAATCTCCTCATGAATTCATGCTTCTAGTAAAGGTAGTAGAAAAGTAAGCACATGCCAGGAGCTTTGGGGCATAACAGGAACTATTTTACCATCCTCCAACTACTACAGTTTACCACAGTCTAAATGAAGCGTATATTGAAGAAAGCATTCAACTCCATACTCTCTCCTAAAAAGTAACACCAAAAATAAACTGAGAGGTGCTGAGAAAGGTCACAGCCCAGGGGGGCAGTAGACAAAGAATCACAGAAGTTATGGACCACTTCCCCCTACCATGACACCTTACCACCACATCCTTCTGCACAGGACCCATTCTGACTAAAAGAACAGCACAATTCAGTAAGTCTCTATGGCAAACCAAAGCTAGAGGAAAGACAAAAACGCAATTTAACCTGAGTCAAACATAAAGCTCCATACTAAAGGTACATGCACCTCCACTATTTTTAATCTATTATTGTCATGTCCAGCTTACAAAAACTCAGAAAACACAGCTCAAAGATGCAGAAGCAACATAAAAACCACACTTTGACATGTTTTGGAAATATGAACTCAGTAACTGGAAACACTTGTGATTAATGCTAAGGACTATACTACACAAAAGTGGATAACATAAATGAAGAGATGGACAAATCAGTAGATTCAAAATCTAAAGAAGCATAAAACTAAATGCTAAAAAAAAATCAAGAAAAACTGTAATAGGAAGAATGCCTTTAAAACTGAACACAGTTCAGCAAAACATCAGTGAGTCTGAAGAAATGCCAATAGGAACTTCTAAAATGGAAATACAAACCAAAAAAAAAGATTTAAAGCTATGAAAGGTATAATATACATGTGATAAGAATCACCACGATGATGCAACAGATAAAAGAGAGATTTTTGGATGTAGCTCAGTAACACTGTGCTTTTATTGCATCTGTAAGGCCCTGAGTTCAATTCCCAGTGGTGGGGGAAGAAAGAAGGAAATGGGAAAGAAAAGGAAAAGAAATAAAGAACAGAAAAAAAAGAACTGAACAACTAAGAATTTCCCAAGACTAACAAAAACAATAAATGCCAAACCACAAATGCAGGAAGGAATAATCAGAAAACATCATCATCATCATCATCATCATCATCATCATCATCATCATCTCTCTCTCTCTCTCTCTCTCTCTCTCTCTCTCTCTCTCTGTGTGTGTGTGTGTGTGTGTGTACGTGTGTGTGTGGAGAGGGGGTGCTGTTGAGAATGACTGGGAGGTGCCCAGCCCCAATTAATAGAACTACAATGCAGTACTTACAACAAAGTGCTATGTTGCTAAATGACAACATTCAGTGAAGTATGATTTAGACTTCTAGAAATTTCAACTGATATTGTAAACCAAAAAATCTATAAATGTACAACCTACAAAAATTAAACTTCCAGCAAACAAAACTCAACATAGCAAAGCCCTACAAAAGAATGCAGGTTGGCTACTAGCTGTCTCTCTAGAGACTCAGTTTATGGATTCAAGAAGAGAACACCCAGAAAACAAGTAGGGCATAACAAATCTTTACCTAGATGTCAATTTCACCTTACTCCAGTCATAATAGCAAAGATCACAACTGACAATAAAAGCTGGACAGGATATGGGGGAAAGGGGAACCCTCATTTATTGTTGGTGGAACTGTAAACTGGTTCATCCAACTCTGAAAATCAGTGTAAAGAATACTCAAAAAGCTAAAAATAAACCTCCTATATGATCCAGCTAAACACTCCTCAGCACATTCCCAAAGGACTCAACACTCTACTCCACAGACACTTACTCGGTCGTGTTCATTGCTGCTCTATTCACAACAAGGAGGAAATGAAACAACCTAAATGTCCTTCAACTAAAAAATGGATGATAAAAACATGGCACATATATTACTATGAATACTATGCACATGTAAAGAAAAATGCTACTTGCAAGTAAATGGATGGAAATATAAACTATCTTACTGAGTGATGTTACCTAAGTCCAGAAAGACAAATGGTCACATCTGAGGTTCCTAACTCCAAATCTTCAGATGTGAGTAAATACATAATCCGGAGTAACTACAGAAATCAGAAGTTTAAAAAATACTGTTTCAGGGTAAGGAGCAATAATAGAAGAGTGAATATCACCATACAAGTGATCTGAGGGAGGAACAGGTCCAAAAGGAAGGATATAAATACAAAAGAAGGAGGGAGGAAGGGAACATAATAGCTTCCTATTTATTTCCCTTAGGTATCAGAAAAAGTCATAAGGAATCAGACTATTAACTATATACCTAAAATATCTCTAGCAAATATAAAACTCTGTATACAAATAAATATAGTTTAAATGGCAATGCTCCCCGAAGAGCCACAGACTATCCAAAACAAAACAAAAAACCTAACACCAGGCATAAGAAGACCTCTTTTGTTCTTGAGTTCTCAGTAGTCCTCATTGTCTGCTATGTTCAGCGAGTCCGGTTTTACCCCAGGCTTTTTCAGACCCAGGCCAGCTAGAACAATGGCAATGGGTTTTTGATCCTACTGCACATACTGGCTTTGTGGGAGCCTAGGCAGTTTGGATGCTCACCTTACTAGACCTGGATGGAGGTGGGTGGTCCTTGGACTTCCCACAGGGCAGGGAACCCTGATTGCTCTTTGGGCTGACGAGGGAGGGGGACTTGATTGGGGGAGGGGGAGGGAAAGGGGAGACGGTGGTGGGGAAGAGACAGAAATCTTTAATCAATAAATAAATTAAAAAAAGACCTCTTTTGAGATTTCCATGAGATTCCCAAAACAGAAAATGCTATCGCTGCTGTGATTGGTGAACTGTCTCCAGAGGTGAAAGGTAATGACCTATTGATAAAGGTACCATGTACTTCATACACAAGACTCAGAAGACCAGGAATGGATTTGTCCTAAAAGCCTCTTTCCTGTATATGCTTTTATGGTCCAAGAAGGAACCATGCATGCTTCCAAAGGAAGGAAACAACTAATAGTATTACCCAGGTATTGTGTCTATGACCTACAACACTGTCCAGCATGTCAGGATAATTAACTTTGCAACAGTGGCAAGTATACCTTGGTGGTAAGCAACAGCTCTCTAAAATTCAAGACCTATTTAACAAGAGGGACATCATACCTGTTAGCAGAAACCTGGTCAACTACCCAAGATTGGTAAAGTCACGGACCTTGGAGGAGAACCTACAATTACCACTTTACTAAACTAGCCTAGTCCCTGCCTTTCTAAATATTTGTCCTTATACCCACAGAAAAGTATTGGTTCTCACCCGTCATCAAGAAAAATTCTCTTTGCAACAGATGGAGACCATTACAGAAACCACAATCAATCAAAATGCAGAACTGGGCAGCTCACCCCTAAATGACACGTCTACAACACAACTCCTACACCTAAGACTCAAGGATCGGTTTGGGAGAGGAAGGTGAATCAATTATAAGAGCTAAAGGAACAGGACGTCTGCTATGAAAATTCATCTCCTTGAAATATCAGGGCAGCTGCACCCATCAACTCTTAACTACACAGCTACCTAAGTAAGACTTGAACAAGGATGGCACAGGAGTCATGTAAATGGAAGACGGGACAATCAGGAGGCCTTAACCCTAGCCAAAGAACTAAGGAAGGCTGGAAGTGGGACGAGAACACTAGCTGCTTTCCAATACCAAACGATCAGCCCCGAAAACACACATACATGCAACATGATAAAGACTGAGAAGGTTTATCTTACATATTTGGTTGTGTGTGTGTGTGTATGTGTGTGTGTGTCTGGGTAGATATGCATGTGTGTAACAATAAGTAAGAGGTTCTTAATTCGAAAGAGAGCAAAGAGATAAATGGGAAGGATTATAGCAGCAAAGAGAAGGGGGAATTGTGTAATTATAATCTATCTCCCTTTGTGTGTGTGTGTGTGTGTGCGTGTGTGTGTGTATTCAAAATAATAGTGGTTAAATGGAACAATTTTCAGAACTCGGAATGAGTTTGTCACTGCCCTTAGTATCTATTCTCTTGCAATGATCTTTTTGTTATATCAAATTTAAATTGCTTAGTTTCTCCGAATTTGTGAGTGGATAACTCTGTGTTCTCTTATCTTTTGAAGACTCAACATGGAACAAACTTTCTTTTTATGAAATTCACTTACAGATAAGTTTCTTTGCTCTGGATTAAAATTTGGAAGATCTCTTTTACTAAGGAAATCTGTGCTCTTCAGAAAAATTCTGGAACTTTCAAGTCTACCTCAGTAAATAAGAAGATAATTGTTTTTATTTGATTTTTCTTTGATTTTGAGACATGATTTCTCTATATGGTCCTGGCTATCCCAGAACTCCCTATGCAGACCAGACTGGCCTCAAACTCAGAGACCTGCCTGCCTCTGCCTCCCACGTGCCGGGAGTAAAGGTGTGCCACTATGCTTGGCTAGCAATAGATATTTTAATATTCTTTGATGTGATACCTTAGTTCTCACACATGACCTAACTGCAAGGATGGCAAACTAACC